CGAAAAAATAAAAGAACAAAAGAAAAAAGGTTGGTTACAAGATGAAGAGTTACTGAAATATTTTTTTTATCAACGAACCAAGTTTTCCTTGAGAAGACCCAAGAGACAACCATAGCTGCTCATAACATAGAAGATCCAAGAGACAAAGCTTAACAAACCTGTAATTGTACCATGAATACATTATACATCTTAACGTACTGCACATTGTAGTAATCCCCAAAATTAAGAGCTGCCACCTAAAGTTGCCCATGGGCACCCATGCACATAAAGAAAACAGAAGGGTGAGAATTCTCAAGAGTATCAGATAATACATTCTTTTAATAAATTGAACAAACAATGTACCTCAGTTAGACACTGAAGAGCAAGATTACGATATGATGGGACTGGGAAAAACTTCAGTAATGTTTCAAGCTGCAAAAACAAATGCGAAGTGGATAATTGTTCAAAGTGGTCCACCCAAAACTCATCATGTGAAGAAATATCATACTAACCAATGGGGATTCAAATATATATCCCAAAGGAATCCATGAAAGAAAAGCATGTAATGTTGATAATGTTGCTCGGATGAGCTCAGTTCTTTGAGATATTGATAGCACAAATAAGCATAACTCATGGATGAGCTGAAACTCGCTGTGAACAATGAAAGGTAAACAGAAAAGAGATTAAATTAAAAACCATGTTAACAACATAAAATCACAGTTTCAGTGCATTTCAAAATTAAATAAATAGTAGTAACTTAAGCCAAGAATTGAAAATAATCAATTTGGAACGAAGCTGGCAATTCAACAATGGACTAATTGTGTGCATCCCAACTTAACAAGTTTCATTCATTAAGTAATAATAACAATGAAATATAGAGTGCGTAAGGATTCAGAACAAATTTAACAGACCTAAAGTGAACTGCAAAGCAACACTTGACAAGAGATTCAACGTATTAGAAAAAATACAAGCAATTAACCTGTTCAAAGATTGTTTAAGCTCCTTGATTTTTTGTTGTGTCATCTCTCCCCTAGAGAAATCAAAGACCTCTTCACTCAAGAGCTGAAAAAAATTATAAAAGCAAAAACGAATGTCATTCACGTAAAATGCAACATATAGTCGAATAAAAAAAAGTTCAAAGATCTACTTTTAAAATCGCCATGCAGTTCTCACAAATTGTTTCACTAGTTCTAGCTGCTGAAACAAGATCCGGAACAAAGCTTCTCCATTTTGCTGGCCATTCATGCTTTAATATCTGATGTCAAATAAAAATATCATCATGGAAAAGGTTCTGGTAATAATTGGGTAAATTGAATCCAAATATTATCTCAATAAGTGCACCAAAAACAAAGTTTCAAACTCATCATTCATCAACCCCTACTAACAATGGCCATGTCATAAATTTCTCTTTTTTAACATGACAAACTTTCCTTCGATAAACAAGTATAAGGAGGAGAGAAAACACTCAAATCCAACAAAGTTCACAGAAAAATGACTTTAATTGCCATAAAAAAAGAAGTAGCTATAGCTGCAAAAAATATTATAAATGAATACAGAATGCATCAACAGAACTTCAATAATTTGATTATCTCCCAATGATCGTCCCATTTTCTACTTTGATTCTCAAAAGTTCTCCAGTTCCTTTCCAGTAGGATTTCATAAGGTAGCCAATAGGCATGGTTGTACAAGTCACAAGACCATAAATTTTAAACCTTCATTAAAAGAGACATCCATAAAGAGGTGGGACCACACAATCATGATTGCCATTGTGGAATCGGTAAGAGAAACCAAAAGAATTGAAGAGTTTAGCAATCTGCAGTAGGTATGAGATAAAAATTAAGATAATACCCTATAGTCATTAAATAAAAAATGAGGAAAAGGTCTTCACTGCCATGATCGTAAAAGCTGAAAATGATACACCTAGGAAAGAGTAAAGAGCAATGGATGTGTTTTTATGGGATCAAGCCAACAATTCAACTGCCATTAATACCACAGAAATAAATAAAAAAATGAAACACCCTAAATTATTCCTCTACAGAAAATTTGATCGGGAAAGAGCAAGAGAGGGGGAAAACTTCTGACAAGCAAAAAGGAAATTATTTTAAAAAAATTATAAACTAATGCAACCGAAGTCGAGGAGATCCTTAAGATGAAAAAGAAAATTTCAAGCTTTCTGAGATAAAACTAAGAAATACCTGAACCAAGATGATATTAAGCTTGTTGACATACAGTCTTTCCACTCGAAAAGAAGCTTCATTACTTGAAAGCTATACAGGATCAATCATAGAACAAAACCTTATTTCTCAGCATGAATTCAAAAGAAATATAGCATAGTCAATACCAAACAACCAAAAAGAGAGAGAACTACACAATTCATGCCTGCACAATCACATCAGATATATAATTCTTCATTCCATCTCTTTGTTCAACCGGTAACGCATTCCATCTATATTTGATTACACCTTCTAGAACCTGTCAATATGGGAACCAGCGTAGCTTATTATATATGACCAACTGATAAAGGAATGTAAACACATCTATTCCTCTCTTAAAAAAATAAAAGAATGTAAATATCTAGTAGTCTATTGATAATAGTTGGACTAACAAACCCGTTTTCAAAGGGAGGTAAGGAAGATAAGAGACCATGAACGGGAGACAGATTAAAAGGTACAGGAGGAGGGGTTAAGACATTAGAGAGATTAATTAGTAACTATAGCAACAAACTAAATTGATGAACTCCAACTTGTGCATTTCAGATATTAAAGTGTCACAAAGGTCGTTTCCAAACTCCTTACATTAGAAACTGAATTTTATGACACAGAGAGATACTGAAAGAAGAGAGAAGAAGCCATCTCCCTGAAAACAAGGAGATCATGGATAACCACTCCAATTGCCATAAGCTAAGAGAGAGGGGGGAGAAACTCATCAAAACTAAATATTTTTACGAGAACCATACCTGTAAGGCAAAGAACTTGGTATTTAAGTTCTTTGTATTCTGCAAAATGTGCACAACCTGCAGCCACATATCTGCATTGTTTTGTAGGTCCCTTAAAATTTGATCTGCGGCGCTCCTCTGAATAGACATAACATGCACGAGAAAAATTAGAAGGTCGATAATTTAAACAAAAAAATAAACTATCACATTAGATGACAGAAGACAATTCAGTGATATTGCCGAACGATGCAAGTATTGCGGGAGATTGGAACTCTGAATAGATAGCCTTTTCCAGGTAGGCTCCCACTAAGCGTGTGCATTGCATGGTTAATAAGTAGACGCAGATACGAGTCAACCAACCATCATTTTCAAACTCTAAAGTACAATGCAACAATTAAGGTAGGAACTAGGGCAATGAGAGGGGATCTGGGTATGTGAAATCATTAAAAAAAACGTAAAACGCGAAACGGAAATTACAACAGCCGCATAAGCAACAAAGGAGCATTTTCGCGGCATGAGCCTGAGGGGAAAAATTGAGGCGGAGGATATGTCATTGGCATAAACTCACAGTCATCTCGTACATCGACTAAAACCCTAAACTGCTACCCTAAAACCACACACACTAAACCCTAAACTTCCAAAACTTCTTCGCTAGGATTCCAAACGAAATTAGAAAACAATGCCCTCAACCACCACATACTAATAACGCAACTCCTCAATCTGTGCTGCACTCGAACTACCCTTTAAAGAAAATGTCCTACCTTCTCCAAGTGAACAAAACACAAACAGAACAGATAAACAAAACGGCGTTAACTCACCTCTTCCTTAGATCCAGTGCCATAGAAGGCCGCAACAGTTGCATCGAGCAAAGGAACGTCAATCGGCTGGCTCAAATCCCTGAGCTTCTCTGCTGCCATGGTTCAAGATCACACACAGAACGTCCAAACAGGCACCAACTCCGACCAAACGCCTCCGAGCGGTAGAGACAAATATAGGGTACTGTACGGAGTTGCCAAACCCTAGAGAAAATGCGAGTGCGAGAGAAAAATAAGCTATGGAGGGGGAGGGAAAAAAAATTAGAGAGAGGTGAGAGAAAGAAGGAGAAGGATTGTACGTAGAGATTATATGAAACGAAAGTAAACCTTAGAAAACGAAGGACTGCTTTAAAACGAAGCAGAGTGTGAAGGGTTTATCGAGACGCCCCAGTCCCAAATTTCCAAGCTCCAACTATGATTTTTATTTTTATTTCTGAATTATTTTTTAAAAATATATTAAATATTAGTTAAATGTGGGGTTTCTCTAAATTGAGAAGGTTTTAAAAAAAAAAAAAAAAACAAAACAAGCTATTAATTCTGTATACATTTAATTTTATACCAGATAAATTTTTAATTTTAAAATTTTCCTTATTAAAATAGGGTTTTTTTTTTTTTAACTTATTAACCTTTTTTAATTCAAATGGATATAAATTTAAATTGTCTATAATAGATAAATTATTCTTTTTAATTATTTTGAATATAAGATCAATGTTGTCAAATTTTAAAAATTTATTAAATATTTTTTTAAGTTGACGTAATAGATTAGTTTTTTAAAAAATTAACCAATTTTGAATAAAATTTTAATAATTATCAAAAAAAAATTGATGTACATATCTCAGAGATATGTATGTAGATGGATTCTGTAACAACTCAAATCTACTCAAATCTATCGCTAGTAAATATTGTTCGTTTTGACTTCTTACTTATCATCATTAGCCTCACGATTTTAAAACAGAGGATTACACACCTTTATAAGAAATGTTTTGTTTCTCCCTCCAACCGATGTGAGATCTCACAATGAGGCCCAACGTCTTTATTGGTACACCGTCCAATGTTTAGCTTTGATATCATTGTAATAATTCACACTCACAGCTAGGAGATATTGTCCATTTTAGCCCGTTATGTATTGTCATCAGTCTCACAGAGAAGTTTTCACACCCTTATAAGGAATGTTTTATTCCCCTCTCTAACCGACGTAGGATCTCACAAATTCACCGTGACTAATCAAATACAGCAACAGTTAAAAGAACATCAGGAGCAAAGAATCAGCCTAAGCCAGACAATGACTTCAACCACAAGCTAAATGAATTTGATTGTATGAAGTTTGTGATGTAACGAACTATCCATCCTATACGAAGCAACAATAATCGAGAAGGCCATGGCAGTAAGGACATGAAGAATATACAATCATGCAGAGATTCATGCACATAGAAGAAACTCGAGCTCAGCCTAACCGATCATCAATGTTCGTGTTTGATGCGAGCTTTTATAATTCCGGGAAGTGGTGGTGAGGTTGGAGTTCTAATCGGCGTGTTAGACATTGAAGGAAGAGGGGTCCGGTGTGATCGATACATGCTAGAGCCCTCCCCCCTATCGGGAGTAAAATTTTGTGCCGTGTCGTCGCGTTGCGGTCTGTCGCAAAATTTCATTGCCTTCAAAACGTAGTTGTCATCATGAAGCTCAAAAGGAGTACTGCAAGAACAACATGACACAATGAAAATTAAACGACTTTCGAAGTTACTTTCCTACGAGCAGAACGTCGACGTACCTGTTGAAGTCGAAATGCACCAGCTGCATGTCTTCTGAAATTTCTATCTCAACAGTTGCATGAGGCCGTGTCTACAAATTCAAAATTTTCCAGGAAAGTAAAAGAACAGCATGAAATTTAGTTCGAATGTGTAACCGCCCAAGCCCACAGTTAACAAATATTGTCCGCTTTGGTCCGTTACGTACCACTGTCAGACTCACGGTTTTAAAACGCGTCTATTATGAAGAGGTTTCTACATTCTTATAAAGAATGCTTCGTTCCCCTCTCCAATCGATATAAGATCTCACAATCCACCCCTCTTGGGGGCCCACGTCCTTACTGGCACACCGCTTGGTATTTGGTTCTGATATCATTTGTAACCGTTCAAGCCCACTGCTAACAGATATTGTATGTTTTGGACCGTTACGTATCGCCGTCAGCCTCACACTTTTAAAACGCGTTTATTATGAAGAAGTTTCCACACCCTTATAAAGAATGTTTCGTTCCCCTCTCTAACTAATGTTGGATCTCACAATCCACCCCCTTAGGGGCCTGCGTCCTCACTGGCACACCATTTGGTGTCTGACTCTGATACCATTTATAACAGCCCATGCCCACCGCAAACAGATATTGTCCGCTATGGCCCGTTACATATCACCATCAACCTCACGGTTTTAAAACACGTCTATTATGGAGAGGTTTCCACACCCTTATAAATAATGTTTTGTTCCCCTCTCCAACACACGACTTCAAAGTACTACGATTTATAGCGTGCTCTTCCCGTGCTAAATTGACCCATGGTGGATAATGTGTATTAAGTAAACTTAATATAAGTACAAGTAAATGTTCGTGGCGACGAATGGAAATTCTACGAAGATATAATATGTGTTAAGAGTTCTTCTCATTTAGGAAAAAGAACAAAAACACACCAGCATGAAGCAGACATGTGGTGTACAAGAGTGTACATGCTTCAATGCATTAATGCTCCAAATATAACAGCACAAGCCCACCACTAGCAGATATGGTCCTTTTTGAACTTTCCTTTCAGACTTCCCCTCAAGATTTTTAAAATATGTTTGTAAGGGATAGGTTTCCACACACTTATAAAGAACATTTCATTCTCCTCACCAACCGATGTGGGATCTCACAATCCACCCCCTTCGGTGCCCAACATCCTCACTGGCACTCGTTCGATTCTCCAATCGATGTGGGAGCCCCCAATCCACCCCCCGTCGGGACCAGCGTCCTTACTAGCACATCGCCTCGTGTCCACCTCCTTCGGGGCTCAGCCTCATTGCTGGCACATCGCCCCGTGTCTGGCTCTAATACCATTTGTAACAGTCCAAGCTCACCACTAGCAGATATTTTCTTCTTTGGACTTTCCCTTTCGGACTTCCCCTCAAGGTTTTTAAAATGTGTCTGTTAGGGAGTGGTTTCCACACTCTTATAAGGAGTGTTTCGTTCTCTTCCCCAACCAATGTGGGATCTCACACCAAAAGTGTCGAAGGATTAAAAGCTATCAACTACGATATTGTTTTGGAATTTGAGATTCTGAAAATTTTAGATGACTAGTTGTTCGATCAAAAAAGCATCCCACGTATCATAAGGTTTTGAAGAAAAGGTAGGACCATAACGCGTTGAATAATATAGAAAGAAAATCTACCTGCACGAGGATAAAAGGTAAAGACACGCCACCACTCGGAGCATTCTCGTAACTGAATAACTGTTCATTTCGCTGTATTAGGTTCTGAAGACCTACATACTGACAGCCAGAAACCGTAAGCTGCTGTCTATCACTTGAATGCAATAATTAAAACAAGTACAAAGAAGGTCCATAAAATAATAGCATTGCCACATCAATAACTTTATTTTTGGATTTAAGAACTCGAGAAGAAGCATGAAAGCAACCCATATCTTACAGCTCCCCCATATCAGAAACATGATGTAACAACTCAAGTCGACTGCTAGCTGATATTGTCCGCTTTGGCCTATTACATAGCATTGTCAGCCTCACAGGTTTTAAAACGCGTCCACTAGGGAGAGGTTTCCACACCCTTATAAGGAATGCTTCGTTCCCTCTCTAACCGATGTGGGATCTCACAATCCACACCCCTTGAGGGCCAACGTCCTCGTTGGGACACCGCCTAGTGTCTGACTCTGATATCATTTGTAACAGTTTAAGCCCGCCACTAGCAAATATTGTCTGCTTTAGCCCGTTATGTAACGTCCTCGGACTCTTAGTTTTAAAATGCGTCTACTAGGAGGAGGTTTCCACACCCTTATAAGGAATACTTCGTTCCCCTCTCTAATTGACGTGGGATCTCACAATCCGCCCCCCACCCTTATAAGGAATGCTTCGTTTCCCTCTCTAACCGACGTGAGATCGCACAATCCGCCCCCCTTGGGAGGCTAGCGTGACACACCGTCTAGTGTCTGGCTCTGATACCATTTATAACGGCTCAAGCCCACCGCTAGTAGATATTGTCCGCTTTGGCCCGTTACATAACGTCATCAGTCTCACGGTTTTAAAACGTCTACTAGGGAGAGGCTTCCACACCCTTATAAGGGATGCTTTGTTCCCCTCTCTAACCGATGTAGGAACTCACACATGATACTAAGACGGTAAGAGAATAACACCATGATAATCATGATAAACAAACAGCAAGAATATAGTGACAGCTATTAGTACCTGTTCCTCCAGCTCTTGCAAGTATGCCGCTTTCTTTTCTATCCTTTTTCTAAGTCCAAGACGCTCGGCCTTCATCGATGAATGAGCGATATAAGCAACAATGAAGTTAACTGCTTATGCATGAGACAAGAAATGCAGAGTGCAGTGAAACCTTTAGTTCTTCAATATCATTCGCGCTGGTACGTGGCAGACCCTTCCATTGTATCTCCTTCTTATCCTTTGATATAATATCCATTGCCATGAGAACATTCAGGGCATCATATACCCTTCGCCTGATGTTTTTTTCATCGTACTGTTGCTGTCGGATTGAGTTCAAAAAGAATGAAAGATAAAATGACATCAATCCTTCCACACACACATTAAAGAAACTAGCAAAAATATGAAGAGTAAGAAACCTGATCTGGCGATGCGAGACCGTTGCCAGGATCTGCAAACTCGGCTACAAGTTCATCTGCAACCTGAAAAGTACACATTTCTCACACTGAGAATGGTGTATGAGAGAACACGAGACTGAAAAGTGAAACGAAACATCTCGATGCGCCCATGCATTATAGGGTATGGTTTAATGCTTGTTTAAGTAGTTTTGTCGTTACAACTTGAAACAATCATAAACAACGCTCTACCTTCTTTTTTTTAAAACAGCTATGAATAGTTACTAGTGTAACAGCCCAAGCCCACCGCTAGTAGATATTGTCCCCTTTGAACTTTCCCTTCCGGACTTTCCTTCAAGGTTTAAAAATGCGTCTGTTAGGGAGAGGTTTTCACACCCTTATAAAGGATGCTTCGTTCCCCTCTCCAACCGACATGGGATCTCACAATCCACCCCCTGTGGAGGCCCAGCGTCCTCGGGCACACCGTCCGATGTCTGGCTCTGATACTATTTGTAATAGTCCATGCTCACCGCTAGCAAATATTGTCCTCTATATGCTTTCCCTTCCGGACTTCCCCTCAAGATTTTAAAATGCGTCCATTAGGGAGAGGTTTCCACACCCTTCATTCCCCTCTCCAACCAATGTGAGATCTCACAATCCACCCCCTTGGGGGGCTCAACATCCTCACTGGCACGCCCAGTGTCGGGCTCTTATTCTATTTGTAGCAGCTCAAGCTTAGCGCTAGGAGATATTGTCTTCTTTAGGCTTTTCCTTCCGGACTTTCCCTCAAGGTTTTAAAATGCGTCAATTAGGAATAGGTTTCCACACCCTTACAAGGAATGTTTCATTCCCCTCTCCAACTGATGTGGGATCTCACAATCCACCCCCTTTGGGGGCCAGCATCCTCGCTAGCACGCCGCCCAGGCTCTAATGTCATTTGTAACAGCTCAATCCCACCGCTAGCTAGCCGATATTGTCCTCATTGGGCTTTGCCTTCCAAACTCCCCCTCAAGATTTTAAAACGCGTCCATTAGGGAGAGGTTTACACACCCCTATAACGAATGTTTCGTTCCCCTCTCCAACCGATGTGGGATCTCACAACTAGCAATTCAGTTTCCACAAGTATCTAAAATTTTCATATATCGACTAACTTTAGAATTAACTAGGAGCTGATAAGTGAGTTTAGTTAGTCAAATGTAGCCTGAGAGGTAGGCAAAAGAAATCCCACCGAGTTCCTCTCATAAGGGAAGAGAAGGTATATTTGACCACATGGAACAATGAAATGGCGCCCAAGAAGCATTCAAATCAACGAAAGAAAAGAAACAGCATCATAGTTACGGAAGCTTTCATATGAACACGATCAATGAATTTCCATACAAATCAACGAAGCTGAGAAACAACCTAACCTCGTTATAATTCGTTCTCCCCTTACTCTCCACTTTCTCACAAACTGCAAGCAAACCAAATTAGTCAAACAATCAAAGAATAAGAAGAAAAAACAATGTTATACATAACGATCCACCAGCTCAATGGCTCAAGCCAAACACCTTTCATGCTAAATTGGCGAAGCCCCCTTCCACTCTTGTCCCCTCCAACAGCACGCTGACCCCTCTTTTTCTTCACGTTACTATCCCAAAACAACATCCCATTCAAGAAACCAAATCAAACCCACAATTCAATTCAAATAACCAAAGCTAAAACCACACATTCACAGCCATCAAGGCAAAATTTCAGCAGAATCGCAACATAAAAAACTCACCCAATAGGTCCTTGCGACCCCGCCTCGTCGCCATGGATGTCGGGGTTGTTCAATCGAAGAAAAGCTTTGTCGCTGGCAGGCGTGGCCATGGTTTGGTCGCTGCGGCTATAAGGAGACCCCACACTGCCACTCATGGAAACAGACTGACTCGAAATTGTGGCGGCACCAGGGCCACTTGGGAGGTCATCCTCGTTGTCTTCTCGGCATTGTTGCTGTGTCCTTGTACCCATGTGCCCTTGAGCTGCAAGCTCACGATTTGCAGGAAAATAAGCTGAATCCTGAAATGGGTTTCTGGGTATTGAAGGAGAGGGGGCTGAAATGGGGCCTTTGAGGGTTGGGGAAAAGTGGGTGTGAGGGACCAGAGGAGGGTTTGGAAAGGAGGGAAAATGGGTTTTCTTATAAAGGAAGAACTGTCCTTCAACTCTTCCAACGCTCTAAACGGCTACGGCTTCGTGTTTTGTTTTTGTAAGCTCCACAATTTAAGCCAACAAAAAACAACACACGCAAATAATGTATATGTTTCCAATTTCTGTTGGTTATTAGGACAACCATTGTCAAAAATTCATGATCTTCAAGAACTAAATATATCATTTATTTCTTGTAATAAATAATAATAATAGTCGTGCGTGTGTGTGTATATATATATACAAACTCGAATCAACTACTTTAATCTTACATGGATTATTTTTTTTGAATGTGATATGAACCAAGAGACATCAATTATACAATATATTTCAATGAAGATGTGATGGAATATCTACACAAACGGAGAAAAAAAAATTATAAAGAGAATTAAAAAGCATAAGCGCAATAAAACATATATCCGATCTTGAGCCTGAACCTCTGATACCAAATGATAGGTGAGGAATCACTACAAGATTCGAATTACCTTGTTGATCGAATATCTGAAAGCAAGAAGATTGTTTGAGATTCAAATCACTCTACAAGCAAGATCGATCATGTCTAGCTTCAATGATTATTGTTGATCAAATGTCTCAATGTAATAACATTTGTTTGAGATTCAAAACACTCCACAAGCATGTTAAGCTTAATGATTCTACATACAACCTAACTACATAAAATTGCAAACAACCTAAACTATATAAAATTGCAAAAGAAGTTAGCCATTGGCCAATAAAAGCACAGATGCTTCTTTTACACTATTTTACAAGTATCTTGCAAATACAATATATATGACTTTATATAGCCTCAAAATGAAATAAGACATTCCAAAAGTTAGTAACATTCCTATTTAATGGTCATAATTAACCATAGTGTAATTGTAACCTGAAGTAAATTAAAAGTTGTAAAATATATTAATAAAATACATTAACTATAAATTACTCTAAATTGTAATCCACCCAAAATTTATAACATGAAACTTTATTTTTCTCCAATGTTGTATGCATTGATTTTTTTTTTTTTTTTTTTTTTTT